CCATATGCAACGACCTAAAATTGACACTTTCTGTCAAACGTACGACGTTTACACATTTTTGGTAGTGTGCGGCGAAACGAGTTTGTGACAATGAACAACTCTCTCATTCACTGACCGTCGAACAAGCAACATCTCGGACGTGATCGCACACTACTCACCATACTAGTTGTAATTAACATAACACCGCCTTTTTAAATAAAATAGAAGTATAAATTTTAATTGTGAAGTTCGGGTTGCGTTTTTATTTATCCAATCTGAACAAACCCACACCTTCATATGAATACAATTTTCAATATTTTTTCAAACTCTCGAAGGTTTTGAGTTCTTAGAGATCACTCTCACTGGCTTCTCAGTGTCTCCACTCATTTGCACAACTTTCAATCTTGACTTTTAGTACCTAGAATTGGCTTAACCTTCATATAAATACCTCCTTTCGAACTAATGATTTCAAATCACATGCCCCTCTGCCAAATCGACAATTTTCAATATTTTTCCAAACTCTCGAATGTTTTGAGTTCTTAGAGAGCACTCTCACTGGCTTCTCAGTGTCTCCACTCATTTGCATAACTTTCAATCTTGACTCTTAGTACGTAGAATTGGCTGAACCTTCATATGAATACCTCCTTTCGAACTAATATGATTTCAGTTCACATGCCCCTCTGCCAAATCGACAATTTTCAATATTTTTCCAAACTCTCGAAGGTTTTGAGTTCTTAGAGAGCACTCTCTCTGGCTTCTCAGTGTCTCTACTCATTTGTATAGCTTTCAATCTTGACTTTTGGTTCGTAGAATAGGCTTAACCTTCATATATATATCTCCTTTCGAACTAGTATATTTAAATTCACTCGCAAGCCTGCCAAAACTTGTACGCAGAGTATATAAAAAAGAAACACAGAATTTGTTTAACTTAGAATTATTGATGTATTAGACCCATTCCGATGTCAATTTTTACAAAAAAATGAGTTGCTCTGTGACCAACTAAATAACAATGAATATGTTCAGAATATTCTGTCTATATATTATATCTTTGATGTCAGCTTCTACCCCCTTCTCAATCTGAATACATATTACTCCATTGAAAGTATTGAATATGGCAAGAACACAATTTTACATTGATCCAATTTTAGAAACGTTGTGTTTCGCAGCAATTTGATCGCAATTTTTGAGTTGATTAACATGATAACGAATGCCACCTTCTTCGTCCGTCTTTTTCATATAAGCACGTTCTAAATCTCCTGGAACCAAAACTGGTTTCTCTTCGTTCACCTTAAGAAAACGGTTATTTAGTTAAACGGTATATTAATTAATCTGTAATTCAACTCACAGGTTGTACATTACGAAGAATGCCATTCATTTCGGTCATTCGATCCGTAAAACCGGGAGCAAAGCAATTGGGATTAATTGCGATGAATACATGGCCAATGTTTGCTTCAGAACTGCTTGAATCATCCAATGACCACTTTCTTCCTTTTGTTGCAAAATTGGCGTTAGATAGAATGCCAGTCATCACTTCCACCATACCGCATAAGCCATAGCCTGTATCAAAAACCCGAAATAGATATATTTGTACTTTTCAATCAAATGATGGTGATTATATTTGCCCTTATATCCTGATGTCTCTTCTAAACCTCCCAAAGGTAGAAGCATGCCTGCTTCAAACGCTTTTTTTGCATCGGTAGTAACATCGCCGTCTTTGTCCAAAGCCCATCCAGATGTAATTGGTAACTGTTTTCGTCGCTGTAATTCGACTTTTCCAAAAGCAACCGCACTCGTTGCCATATCTTCATGTTTTTTTTTTTAGATGAAAATGTTATTAAAATTAATGAACGAACTTTATTTTTTGTGATTCTCATACCTAATACAAAACCATCTCCGTTATTTGCTGGTGCTGCTACGCTGATTGGATTTGTTCCAAGTGCGGCTTCTTTACCTCGTGTTGGGCACAATATCACACCGCCATTCGTCATCGATATTCCAATCAAACCTTGTTCTTGAGCTTGTATACTATACCACCCAGCAATTCCTTTTTAAATAGATACGAATTTAAAATTCTGATGTACTAAATGTTCAGCTTTGTCTGATTCAGTATTTTTAGTATCATTCATGTGTTATCTAAATGGTAATAAATGATGAATGTGATAAAAGTTGCAATTTATATCTACCGTAATGATTGGAATGATTCGCGCAAACCCATCCGATGCCAACTTCTTTCGCTTTTTTTATTGCCAAATCCATACAGAAACTAGAAATAGTTAAAATCTCATCAATTTGTTTTTATTTGTAGCTTCTCATTCACTGTTTACCGGCCAACAACTGCACCGAGTCCGTTATTTCCATTGACCCAGGCAGTACATGGTGATTCCTAGTGCCAATTGAAATAATTATAATCTTTAACCAACCAAATTAGTTATAGAAATTAAATTGTAGTTAATTTACCTTAAGAATTGTCGGGACCGCAGCACCGTCAGTCTTCGAAGTTTGTATATCGTGCAAATATATTTCAAGACGATGCATACCTAATAGAAAATGAAATCATGATCATCGCGATTTTTCTTATCCAATATAAATTGATCGTACCGTGACTAAAGTGACCGCGACAATCAGCTGCTATCAATAAATTGGCCATTAGGTCAGCATGCTTCTGTGGTACATTCAACGAACGAAAGCAGTCGGCCACAAATCGCTTCGCCTCATTGACGGGAATCACATCTGGGTTTGATCCAGCTGCATGAGATTTTTTTATTATTACATCACATTTATGACAACATATGATTTCACAGTTTTTGGCTTGAAGATTTAACTTTCACCATTCAGAGCATTTTACGCATAAAATTTGGAATTCGTTTCTCTTTTCAATTGGATTCGACTTAACATTTTATCAGCAGTTCATCAATTTTAAAAAAATACTTTTTCTACTTTGATTTATACTTTTTTCCATTGATATTTTTGTCCTGTTATCCGGCGGACAACAGCTACTAGGAATTTCTCATGTTAGAAAAAATTTCAATCCGATGAATATTTAAAAATCCGACAATTTTGATGACGCCTCATTCAATTTTCCAAATAAGACAATACGATAATAGAGAAGAGTTCTAATTTTCATAAGGGTACCCCGTTTAAATCGAACCGAAATTATGCCCAAAGTGTCACACAGCTAACGTCACGACGAAATTCAATGTAATCTATACTAGATTGCCTCCAAATAGTGAAAAGACTTTTGCTTAGTTACAAACAACTGACTAGAACTCCATAGTTGTCCGTAGTGGCGCAAGCTGTGCTACAATTTTGCATTTTATGCAGTCTCTTATGGAACATAATTGCAGTGTGGTTTAAATCCTATTTTTGTTTCACGGCAATTTATTTAAAAGAAATATGCTGAATTACAGAATAATTTTAAACTCAGTTTTCATCCCAAGATAACAATGCATTAACATTCAATGCAAAATTATTGCTCTTGACCCATTTTCGTTTTCATTAAATTAACTCGCAAAATTTGTAAACTTTTTAAATTTTGTTCGGGCTAAATTTCGACAAATATATTTCGGATTAATTATTATTTACCCATATTCAAAAGATTCAAAAATGCTTGTATGATTCGGTTAAAAACAAAACGTTTCTTGTTGAAGACACGGCTGATTAATAAAACCGAAGCAACCGACAAAAAAAACGTCATAACATTTGGTAATCGTGATAGTTAGTTAACTTATGTACGTAAACCTCTTAATTTAATGACAACAAAACACAATTTGTTCATCAATTCGAATAAGACAAACATTGTAAATTTGTCTAGTTTCTAAGGTTAATTGAACGCGCGTGATTTCAATTAAAATGTAGATTA